GGCCACGGCCATACAAGGAAAAACTCTATGGTTTTCCCTTGTATGGTCGTGGCCCCGTCCCCAGCGGGCCTGGCGTCATGACGTCACTTCCCTGTGACGTGCATGCGGCGCACGCATGCCCCAGAATATGATCGGGAGTCCCCCGCCGGCAGGGTAAGTGCCACTTGGCAACCCTAGTCTGGAGCAGACTGCTATGTGAAATGTTATTGACCTTTGTAATTTTTCTGTGAAGGAATAAGTGGTTGTTTTTTTCATTACCTGACACTAAATGATGTTATGGTTTTAAGATAGTCTCTTTGGTTATTATATTGTTCTACGGGCATCTAGCACACATCTGTATATATATTTTTTCATTTCTGACCAACCCCCAGGTGGAACCTGGAGCTCCTGGAATCACAACGGATGTCCAGACCACAGATATCAGTTCCCCTGGAGAAACATGGCCACTTTGGAGGGTGAACTCTATGGCATTATACACTGCCAGGCCCCTCCCTTCCCCGAAACCCTGCCCTGCCTAAGCTCCACTCCCCAAATCTCCAGGAATTTCCCTGCACAGAGTTGGCAACCCTAGGTCCAAGTCCACATTTCCCCTTCCCAGAAGAGCTTTTTCTGAAAACCAAAATTAGTCAGCTGGGCCGTCATTGTACGTGTATATTTTTACACTAAGCTCTGGGGGTTCTAGACCCCTCCCTTGTCCTTGTCCACTGCGCTGTAACGTGGCTCTCCTGCTCCCTTTCAGTCAAAGCCTTTGTAGAACCTCAATTCTCAGTGTCCTGCTGCTTGTTCTTCTCTTAGTTTCTGTCTCAGAAGCAGAATTCCAGCGGGGCTCTAAGAGAGACTCAGCTTGAAGCATGCAAGGCTAAAAGGCAGCTATTCCCATCGTGTTCAAAAGCCTTCATCTTTTTTCTCCCCCTCCAGTCTAAACACCCCTATTTCCCCAGTCCATTTTTCCAGACATGGTCCACACACACACCCCTTTCTGTATGAGACACTGAGAATAAAATAAAAAGACTCCGGAATGGCATGGTGAAGACGACAATAATCCTTTTAGAAATCACTGTCAAGCTCCAGCAGGGCACAGTGCTGGGAGGTTGGAAAACATTCAGTGCAAAAGTTTGAGTGTCAGACTGGGGTTTGGAGGACCCAGGTTCAAATCCCCATTCTGCTATGGAAGCTGTGTAGGTGACCTTGGGCCAGCCACACACTCTCAGCCTGACTTACCTCAGAGAGTTGTTATGAGGAGAAGGGAAGGAGAATGATATGCATCACCTTTGTCTGGGCCTCCTTGGAGGAAGGGTGGGATACAAAGGTGATGGATCGATCCCAGCTCTGCCTCTGGCCTCAGAATCTGAGCCTCAAGAAACCTCTTAAACCTCTCCAGGAATAATCATGGCGGCCGAGGGCCTCCTGTTTTGTATGCTTGACAGGAGGGCAGGAAGAAGAAGAAGAAGAAGAGGAGGAGATTGGATTTATACTCCGCCCTTCAGAGCGGTTTACAATCTCCTTTCCCTTCCCCTCCCCACAACAGACACTCTGTGAGGTGGGGGGGCCTGAGAGAGCTCTTTTGAGAACTGCTCTTGAGAGAACAGTTCTGAATGAACTTCTGATTGACCCAAGGTCACACCAGCAGCTGCATGTGGAGGAGGGGGAATCTAATTCAGTCCTCCCAGATTAGAGTCCACGCTCCTAACCACTACGCCAAACTGGAAGTGGGATTGTGCACCGTGCTGTATCTGTGTAACTCTAATTGGTTTTTTAAAATATTTTAACAGATTGTTTTACAGGACTCATAAACATCATGACTGATATAATTTGGCGCTTCACTGGAGATTTCATGGCCCCTGATCTCGTCTGCCGAATTGTGCGGTATTTGCAGGTACAAGATCTGATAAACTTTGGATAGTTTCTTGATGTGTTTATTCCTTTAGTAAGTCCTTGCTTACTGTGAAATAACTGAAATCATACTGTATGGGGGTTCGGGAGAAAAAGATATAGCAATGAGCCATTAACAAAAAATGACATCTTGATATAGTGTCACTTTTCTTTAAAAAAAATCACACCACAAGATAAAATTTCACTGAGTGCTTCAATCACATTCATTGATTGATTGTGCTTACACATCCCTTGAGATGCATTCTTGACTCATTTTGGTCATAATTTTTCATAGTGTACAGAGTGAACTAGTAAAATATGTCTTTGGAGCTGAGTACCCTTCACTTCTTAAAAGTCAAAATGTATAATAGAAAACAATAATACAGTCTCACGGAATCAACGGGATGTATTTTCAACAAACAATGTTCAGTTTGATTGGGATTGTCTTCCAACCATTTACATTCTTGTTGCCCTTTCTTCCAACAGCCCAGAAAGGGCTCATGAGGACATCTCCTTTTCTCTTGAATCTCGTGGGTTATTCAGACTGGCTGCTTTCACACACATTGGATAATGCACTTTCAAGGCACTCAGTCGTCATTTTCAAGTGGATTTTCCAGGAATTCACTTTCCCAGAAAATCCACTTGCAAATGATTGCTAAAGGGTGTTGAAAATGCATTATCCGACATGTGTGAAAGCGACCTGTGAAAGCATGACTCACTTAGGGCTCGCTGGGGGTGCCATCAACAGAGCTCCCAGGTTTTCCCTACTGTAAAAATCACATCTGCAGAGAAGGGCTGATTCAGATCAAGACCTTGGTGCAGAGAGAGCAATGGTTAGGCCTACATGACCCCGGGGAGCTGCAATTTGCTTCCATACCTGTACGTTCATTATTATTAGTAAAGGTAAAGTTTTCCCTTGCTCGAAAGCCAGTCGAATCCGACTCTAGGGACTTGGTGCTTATCTCTGTTTCCAAGTTGAAGAGCCAGCGCTGTCCAAAGACAATTCCGTGGTCATGTGGCCGGCATGACTAGACGCCGAGGCACACGAAACGCTGTTACCTTCCCACCGAAGTGGTGCCTATTTATCTACTTGCAATTTCTTGCTTTCGAACTGCTAGGTTGGCAGGAGCTGGGACCAGAGACGGGAGCTCACTCTGTCATGCAGCACTCGGGTCTCGAACTGCTGAACTACCGACCTTCCAGTCTGCAGTTCAGCGTCTTAACCACTTGAGCCACCGCAGTTATTATTACCAGTAAATAACTCCCCAGGGTGATTTCAGGTCAGGATAATGCAGTGGGTAGGAAAGTTTAAAGCCTTCAACTGCCATAGAGCACCAGTATAAATTGGGTGCTAGGCATGTGAATTAAAAAACACCACTGGGAGCTCCCCCCCACCCCCAGAACTGCCAGTGTCTCATGTAGATGAGCCCTCAGGGTCCCCCAGTGAGATCTGCAGTCTCAGCAAATGTTTCCATCTGGGTCTCCTCAGTGACCCCCCCCACAATCCAGTCCGTGTCTCCTCCAGTGACCCTCACCATAGTCCTACCCCAAGCATAAATCTTTAAAAAAAATATATTATCCTGGCTTTGTAATGGGATGCTTTCTTATTGAGAATTCTGACACGGTTACTTTTATTATTTGTCTTATTTGTATTTTGTGAGCCCCCTTGGGCCAGTCTCCGGAGAGGTGGCCTATAAATTAAATAAATCAATGTATGCTGGTGTCTGTGACCGCTGTAACATTGTGCTAAGGTTGTATTGGGGTTCTGTGGCATTCGCTGTCGCCATGCTGTAGCCTGAGCACATGCTGGCGTGGCCATCCTTCGGATGCTCTGTCAGCACCGCTCCCGCAGAAGTTCTCATATCTGATTCAAGAACATGTTTTTTTCATGATTCGTTGGGGGAATGGCTTCAGAGTGTGCTCCAGTGAGTGAAAGTGTATTTATTTATATGGATATTTAAGCCCCACTTTTCTCCCCAGGGGGGGAACCCAAAGCAGCTTACAATACCATTCTCCTCTCCTCCGTTTTACCCTCACAACCACCACTCTGTGAGGTAGACAAGATGGAGAAAGATGAACTGGCCCGAGGCCACCCAGCAAGCTTTCATAGCCGAGTGGGGGTTTGAACCTGGGTCTCCGAGATCCTGTCTGATACTCCACCCGCTACATCACACTGGCTTAAACTGCTGTGTTTGCTCTTCATTTCGTGCAGTATTAGGGCAAATGTATTTAATTCATAGAATCATAGAGTTGGAAGGGGCCATACAGGCCATCTAGTTCAACCCCCTGCCCAATGCAGGACCAGCCTAAAGCATCACTGACAAATATATAGAATCATAGAATTGTTTCATTTATACCCCGGCTTTCTCCCCAATGTGGACCCAAAGCAGTTGACATCATTCTCCTGTCCTCGGTTTTGTCCTCACAGCAACCCTGTGAGGTAGATTAGGGTGAGAGTGAGTGACTGACCCAAGGTCACCCGGCAAGCTTCCATGGCAGAGCTGGGCTTCGAACCCGTGCCTCTCAGACCTTGGTCCAACACTCTTCCCACTACACCACACTGTTGTCGTTCATATATCTTGTAACAACTAAGCTTACTTCTTCCCTTCTTCTTTAGGTTGTACTTTTGTATGCTTCAACCTACGTCCTAGTTTCACTGAGCATAGACAGATATCATGCCATAGTCTATCCCATGAAGTTCTTTCAGGGAGGTAAGAGGCTTTTCCCCCCTACTGTGTTGCAATTGTTTTGTCCTTAAACCATAATTTCACTAGATAACTTTCCTATGAAATAGTCATTTACATTATTAAATAAAGAGTCATTATTCATGAATAATGAACAACCCTATTTTAGTTATTCCAGGTCGCTGGCACTGTTCAGGCCCTCTCGCTGTTTTTCAAATAGCTGCGATGCTACCCTTCGAGCTTCTTTTTATTCTGCTTCCTATTGTTCTGCAGATGTCAGGTGATATTTTGCTTCAAGAAGCATTCCAGATTTTTTTTCTTTTCTTTTGTGTGGGAAAGCAACTAGCACTCCCCACAAAAAAAGAACTTTAAAGAACCCAACCCTGATGGACATTTTGAAACATTAATAGTGACTTCAAAGATTTAATGAGTTAGGCACTGAACCTAAATCACACTATTTTCTGACTTGCAAAAATTCCATTAATGATTATGCAATTTTGCATAGTGCTCAAATATACTTAAGAAAATAGAGAATAAGTAAAGTAAATAAGGGAAGTAAACAGTAAAATGCAAGTCTGATGGAACACATCTAGTAACAGAGTATGGTAGATGCTTTCTGGAACTGTACCACTTCACATTCTGGGTTGGAACACTACTTTAAATGCTTATTCATTTTATTTATTTAGTAAATTTTTACCTCAGACTCCCTCTGAGGAGTTTAGAGCAACATATGTGGTTTCCCCTCTTTCATATCATCCTCACAACAACCCAGTGAGGTAGATTAGGCTGAGAGAGAATGACTGGCCAATGCTCCCCCACATTAAAAAAAAAACCTTTCTGCATGTAGAAAACAGGCACGTCCAGGCTATTTTAGGTTAGAACATTTCTCTCAGAAGAGCTATTAACTATGTTGTTGGTGTTATCTATATAATTTAGAAGAAGAAGATAAGAGATTGGATTTATACCCCGCCCTTCACTCGGAGTCTCAGAGTGGTTTACAAACTCCTTTCCCTCCCCCTCCCCACAACAGACACCCTGTGAGGTAGGTGGGGCTGACCCACGAAGATTACGCCTATGAATGAGTTCCTGCTGGGCTTTTTCTACAAGAAGAGCCCTGAACACATCTAATAACACAGTATGGTAGATGCTTTCTGGAACCATAGCACTTCACATTCTGGGTTGGAGCACTACTTTAAATGCTTATTCATTTTATTTAGTTAGTACATTTTTACCTCAGCCTCCCTCTGAGGAGTTTAGAGCAACATATGTGGTTTCCCCTCTTTCATATCATCTTCACAACAACCCAGTGAGGTAGATTAGGCTGAGAGAGAATGACTGGCCAATGCTCCCCCACATTAAAAAAAAAACCTTTCTGCATGTAGAAAACAGGCACGTCCAGGCTATTTTAGGTTAGAACATTTCTCTCAGAAGAGCTATTAACTATGTTGTTGGTGTTATCTATATAATTTAGAAGAAGAAGATAAGAGATTGGATTTATACCCCGCCCTTCACTCGGAGTCTCAGAGTGGTTTACAAACTCCTTTCCCTCCCCCTCCCCACAACAGACACCCTGTGAGGTAGGTGGGGCTGACAGAGCTCTGACAGAAACTGCTCTTTTTCAAGAACACCTCTGACAAAACTATGGCTTGCCAAAGGTCATCCAGCAGCTGCAAGTGGAGGAGGGGGGAATCAAACCCAGTTCTCCCAGATTAGAGTCCACACGCTTAACCAATGGGGACCCAAAGTGGCTTACATCATACTCCTTGCTTGCATTTTACCATCACAACAACCCTGTGAGGTAGGTTAGGCTGAGAGAGTATCACTGGCCCAAGGTCACCCAGTAAGCTTCCATGGCACATGTGGAGATTTGAACCTGGGTCTCCCAGATACTAGTCTGACACTCTTAACCACTACACCACACTGACTCTCATTATTACTATTATTATGTTGTTGTTGTTGCTGTTATTTATTAATTGAATATAATTTTGCCAAATTGTACGGGAATTCAGGCGGCAGTTTTAAGGAAGCCACCAATGACTGAGGTAGAATTATTTTAAAAGGATTCTGAGGCCCAACTAGACGATACTGCATCCTGTATGTGCCCAGGGGACATTGAGCCGTTTAAAAGTTTGTTTTACTTTTAAAATCCCTGTGCAGGCCCAGTCCTGCCATGGACCACAGCATGAGGGAAGAGGGGCTCCTTCTCCCCCCACCCGCCATTTTGGTTCTCACCCCACATAATTGTCCATGCTATTAGCAGTCCCCCAAAGTGATTTTTAAAGTGAAAAAATCGGCTTTGAATTGGTGCTGTGTCTCTGTGGTGGACTTGGTGACACAATTGTCACATAGTTTGGCCCTGAACTGATCTGGGAAATCACAATCAATTGGTGTTAGACTCAGGACTCAAGCTGGTTGTAGGCCAAAATCAGAGCCTTGAGTTGTGCCCAGAAGACAACAGGAAGACAGTGAAAATAAAGTACCTATGTAATGTTCTCCTGAAGATAAAACGCAGCCTGAGGTACTCAGAAGACAACAGAGAGGGCAGACCATAGGAGTGATGCTTGTGGGAGGGAAGTAAGATTTGTCCCACAGAATTTATATCATCAGGAGTCTCAATTACATTAGCTTCTCGGTATATGGGAGTATGCTAACATGGAATAAACGTAACATATTCTGATGAGAGGCAACAAGTCTGAAATACTTCACGACCCAGTGGGTTTCTCTCGCTGCCCAGTTAAAGATCTCAGAAACCAAACAAAAAAGACCAAGATTTACGACTGGCTGCTGCTCTTTGATAAGGGTCTTGTTCTCACAGCCCGAAAGTATAAGTTCGCTGGCTACAATCTTATCATTCAAGCCAAGAGCTTGATGTAGTGTAATGAAGTCTCACACACAGGCAATGACTTCCAGTTAGACTTTTCAGTCCTTTCAGTCTGGCAGAAGTGATCAAGCTGATTAAGTCTGCAGAAGTTCCCCAACAATAGCTTATGTAGTGCTTCAGAATGCAAAGGCAACTCATGAGCAGAGGAGGCGGACTGCTATTCTATGCATGACTTGCACCCTAAGACCTTCCTTGTCTCTTCCTTGAGGCATATTCTTACCTACAGTACACTCTTTGGCACTGGGCGCATAGAGGATTTTAAAGGAATTCCATAAACAACTGGCAAGACTAAAAGTGTGAAATCAGAAACAACTAATTACCCCCGATGCATGCATGACTTAGCATTCTGTGCAAACTTGGGATTCATAACGTCTCACCCTCTGCAGAGTAAAAAGTAAGATAGCATCCCATCTCTGTGCCTTTGGACATTTAACTAACAGAGAGATTATTTTCTTAGCCTTTAAAAAGTTATGGTTGCAGTCCTAAGAATACTTTCCTGGGAAAGTAAGCCCCATTAAATACAGTGGGACTTACATCTGAGTTGACTTGCTTAGAATTGCTCCCTACGTGCCTCACATCCATTCATAGCAGGCTTCCCAAGCACTTACCGTGATTTGGCGGGGGACACAGACGTCTTCACAGGATCATTCCTGCGGGGACAACAGATGTGTGGGCCAGGAGATCCGAAGATTGTTTGGCAGCCTGAAACTCTAGCTCTTTTTGTGGCGAGCTAGGTTTATTTGGGGGCTGAGAGAACTGTGACTGACCCAAGGTCACCCAGCTGGTTTCAAGTGGAGGAGTGGGGAATTAAACCCAATTCTCCAGATCAGAGTCCACCACTCTTAACTACCACGCCAACGGCATATTCCAGCTGATGGATAACAGTGAAGCGGTCAGTGGTATTAAACAGTGGAGCGGTCAATGGTACTGATGGATCTAACAATATCAACAGGGATGACCTTCGTCTATACAGTTATGAACGTTCACCAGTTCACCAGCTGTATCAGTTCCAATCTGAATCTGGATTGAAATGGGTCTGAATCTGGATTGAAATGGGTCAAGGGCATATGTGTCATCTAAGAACCCCTGCAGCTGTTCTGCCACTACACACTCCATTACCTTCCCCAGAAAAGGGAATACTGGGGACCGACGTATAACTGTTCACCTCAGCCTTAGCCAGTGAACCTTTCAACGGTCTAAAAACTGCTTCCTTCAAAAGCTTACGGAGGGCCCCGCTCAGTCAGTGAAGCATTAGTGAGTTTAACCATTGGCTCCAGGGCCTTTTCCCAGCACAGTTTTAGAAGCCAGGATGCGCATTCAATGGTGGCTCTCGCACTCCCAAGGACCCTGTCAGTATCCATTGATAAGATCCATCTGAATCTATCTGTTACAAAAGGACAAACTTCTAACACTTCAGAAGAACTGTTGACCTCCCAGCTGAAATGGATAGGAGATATTTTATCAGCAAAGAACCTCACAAAAATATCACTGCTAGGGGACAAATTAACCTCACTGACAAGGTTGGACTTAGGTGTTATCAAGTCACAAACCATTTTCCATCAGTAGAGATCAAAGCGAGGGAATATTTCAAAAACGAACTGTTGACCTCCCAGCTGAAATGGATAGGAGATATTTTATCAGCAAAGAACCTCACAAAAATATCACTGCTAGGGGACAAATTAACCTCACTGACAAGGTTGGACTTAGGTGTTATCAAGTCACAAACCATTTTCCATCAGTAGAGATCAAAGCGAGGGAATATTTCAAAAACCTGCATATACAAAATTATTTCCATCTACACAGAAAAGCAGTCTTACAGCCACGTAGCTCCCCCAACTCAATACCTTGTTCCAAAACAGGATATCTTCTTGTCCCTGTATTTGGCACAAGTGGGTGTCTGGATTGATTAATGAATGGGATGTGGGAGCTTCAGGGTGGTCATGGAGCTTCCACTCGTGCAATAGTTTCCAAATTCATTTAATCAGAGAAGATAGCCTTAAAGGAATGGATCAGTAGTTCATGAAGTACTCTGGACCAGACGAATCACTTTGTGAGTGGTTCTGTGCATGGGATTGTGCCAAGCCTCAAGATGTTTCTTGGCATTAGAACTATAGCCATGGGGAGGGTAATCCAAGAGCCAGTTTGGCATAGTGGTTAAGAGTGAGGGACTCTAATCTGGAGAACTGGGTTTGATTTCCCACTCCTCTACATGCAGCCAGCTGGGTGACCTTGGGTCAGTCACAGTTCTCTCAGAGCTGTTCTCTCTCAGAGCTCTCTCAGCCCCACCTACCTCACAGTGTGTATGTTGTGGGGAGAGGAAGGGAAGGAGATTGGAAACCATTCTGAGACTCCAAGTGAAGGGCAAGGTATAAATCCTCCTCCTCCTCCTCCTCCTCCTCCATTCTAGGTCCACTGTCTGAACATTCACCTTTCATTTTAAAAAGTAGCTATTTGACCCTTTTACATGTTGATAAAAATGGGCAGGCAGGATTCTACCCATTTGTACAAAGTAATGAGAGGACCTGCAAGATCTCAAAAGCTAAGCAGGCTTGGCCCTGGTTAGTATTTGGAGGGGAGACCACCAACAGAGGCAGGAAATGGTAAACAGCCTCTGAATGTCTCTTGCCTTGAAAACTACAGCATTGCCATAAGTTGGCCGTGACTTGATGGCAATTTCCACCACCAACACCAACGCCACAAGTCTGCCTGTTCATATTTACTCTATTTCACATAACGGAGCATGTGAACTAAACCACTCCTACTCCTTGCTTTCCCATTCTATGCTGTTTACAGCATTTTCTTTCCCCCAGCCCAGCTCCATTAATTAAAAATATCCAGACTGGTTTGGGCTGAGTTGTCACCCAGCTATATCTGTTGATGGATGGCTGCCCAGATACCTCCCCAGAGGTTTTGGCTAGGGCTTTGGAGGCCATGGCTGATTGGTTGAAGCAGAGTCAACTGAAATTATATCCATCTAAGACAGAGGTCCTGTGCCTGAACCACAGAGAGATGGAACCGGGGATCCAGCTCCCCACCCTTGACAGGGCTCTGTTAGCACCAGCATCGACAGTGAGGAGTCATCTAAGACAGAGGTCCTGTGCCTGAACCGCAGAGAGATGAAACCGGGAATCCAGCTCCCCACCCTTGACGGGGCACTATTATCACCAGCGTCATCAGTGAGGAGTCTGGGTGTGACCATGGACGCCTCACTTTCAACGGAGGCCCAGGTCACGACCATTGCCAAATCAGCCTTTTACCATCTTTGGCAGGTCAGGCAATTGGCCCCCTTTCTCTCTCCCCCCCATGGCTTAGCCACAGTGATCCATGCATTGGTCACCTCCGGGCTGGACTACTGTAACTCGCTCTATGCAGGGCTCCCCCTGAGACTGATCTGGAAACTCCAGCTGGTTCAAAAAGCAGCTACCTGTGTCCTTACTGGGACCTCAGGACAAGCATATATGCAGCCTACGCTCTGCCAGCTGCATTGGCTTCCAGCTGAGTATTGGATCAAGTTCAAGGTTTTGGTATTGACCTTTAAAGCCCTTTGCAGGCTGGGACCATCATATCTGCAGGACCGTTGCTCCTCCTATGTCCTCTAAAGAGCTTTGTGCTCCTCAAATCAGTTACCTGCTGGTGGACCCTTGCGAGAGGGATGTCCACTTAGCCTTGGCCACAGCCAGAGCTCTTGCGAGTGAAATCAGGGCCCTGCAGGATTTACTACCATTCTGCAGGGCCTGTAAAACAGAGCTGTTTCGCCAGGTCTTTGGTCAAGGAGGCAGACACCATACGAGATTGCCCCCCGCACCCTACCCACCCATTCTATTTACCCTCCTATGCGCAAGTATTCTTAGATATGAATCGGTGGGAATTTGTCCACTTGCAAAAACTAGTACATCTGAGTGCCTGTACAGGGGTTGAAGTCTCTGAAAGTATTTAAATTGGATTATCACCATCTGCTGATTTATGTATAGAGCCCAATTTTAATTTTTACTGTATTATGTTTTAATCTTTTAAATTGTTATATTTATATGGTGTGCCCACTTGTGGGGTAGGATATAAGTCAAACAAACAAACAAACACGTGTCTAAAGCTTGGCAGCCTCATGTGAAAAAAATAGTCACTCCACAAATTGGTTGCCCCACTTAAAAATTACAAAAAAACACTTTTTAAAACACATTCAACCATTTCTATTTGTAGAGTGATCATTTTTCAGGTCAGGCTGCCAAGCTTTAGACCCTGGGTTGAATCCTGCCAGCTTTCTCACCCAATCTTGCCCCGTTCCCCTCCTTTCAGTGGCCCCCTGTCCCTCGTGGCTTTTGTCCATGCAGGGCCACTGATTCTCAGCATAGTCCTCTTAGGTGGCCAAGGAGACCCTTGCTTCCTTTTTCACAGCTGAAAAGGTGGTTGAATACAGTCCAATTGCTGTAGTTGTGGGGATGCACCCACTGGTCCCATCCCAGTTAACAGCTTTATCGCCACCTGAGAATTTTTAACTGGTGATGCTGGAGGTTGAAGTAGAGACCTTCCACATGCAAAACCTAGTTATGCTCTACCACTGAGATATGGGCCCCTCCATAACAAAATGAAGCTGCAACATATTTCTAGCTAGCTTTTTCCAGAGACGATTCCTATCCATTTCTACGTCATTCTTCTCTAGGCTGCCTGTTGCCCTCCTCTTGAATGAAGTGGAATGAATCTCAGTCATCAGTGACTTTTCTTTGTTTGAAATCACAGTAGCTCCCTTCTGAAATTACCATGAGCCCCATTAGGACCACAGCGTTTGATACAGGCCCTCAATTATCCTTCATCACTTACAAAAAAAATACCTGCAGTAAATCCATCCATAATTATTTTAATCCCAAAATTGAGCTCAATAAATTGTTCTCATTTCACAGCAGGCAACCAACAATGATTATCGCACCATTGTGGCGCACTCCTTCTCTCAGGGCTCTCTTACTACTGCATCATTATTCTCTGGACAGGGAATAAAATACGCACTTTGATTGATTACCTACATGTATTAATGGGACCTTGTTCCTTCTTGAACAGAAAGGCAGGCGAAAGTCCTCATTGTGGTTGCCTGGAGCCTCGCATTCCTGTTTTCCATTCCGACTCTGATCATATTTGGGAAACGGCAGCTGTCCAATGGGGAAGTGCAGTGTTGGGCTGTCTGGCCAGATGACTCTTACTGGATCCCATACATGACCACAGTGGCCTTCCTGGTGTACTTTATCCCACTGATTATTATCAGGTAAGAATCCATTTTATGCTGATAAATCACAGTTACTCCAATCCAGGGGCAGACGTGGATCCACGTATAACTGGGAAATTCCCCGCTCATTCTCATGGAGCCGTACAATCTGCATAAGCCAAGGAATGTGTGTGTTTTAGCTCCTCTTTGAAATGAATGAGGAAGCCACCAGAGATTCCTGCACAGAAGGAAGCACATCACACTCAACATAGATCACTAAATCGGAGGGATATAACCATGCAGTCAGCTGTATCGCCCGCACTCAACATAGATCACTAAATCGGAGGGGTATGGGAGTAACCATGCAGTCAGCTATATCGCCGGTCTATTACTATGAATAATACACAGGCAATTATTCATGTGGATATATTGCTTACATATTAATGAGTCAGATGGAGCATAATATTTACATCTTTTCTCCCCCTTTCATTCTGTGTGCCCCAGTAAATACCACCAAAATGTATGTTGCATTAATAGTTAAGGATGTTTGACTGAATGAAAATAAAACCTTCAGTGCTGAAAATGGTCAAATCGGTCTTGGGTTTTACAGAGCTCTGTTATGGCTGTGTCATTATTCTCTGGTCAGAGAAAAAAAACTGCTTTAATGAACTTTCAAAAAATATTGCATTCCCAAAATCTTGAAAAGCTGAGTCCCATCAGTGGTCAGAGAAGACGACTCTCATCATGAGTAGATAAACAAGTTCACACAAAGCTAGTCATAATGCCACCAGGTTTTGTTTTTTTATTGTTTTTTTCAAAAAGATTGCAGAAAACATGAGATGATTCAGATGACAGCAACCGGACTGAGTTGGGATGCAGAACCCCTTGGTAGTGACGGCCAAGTTTCTAAAAGTGGCTCCACACTTTACATGGAATTTGTGTTTTGCAACAGGACAGCTAAATTGCGCTGGTATTTACTGTCACAAATGTGCAAAACAGGCTGGTGACTACCCCGTTAGTTTGTATGGCAGTCCAGCAGAGGCTTTGCTCTTGTTTTTGTCATTAACTCAAGACTGTGCAGGTACAGGGCAGCTGTAAAGCACCTGGAATGCCAAAATATTTATTGGTGGACTGCGTTGTGTATTATAAGCTGTACGCAAATGTGCATGTCAGATGTGCTTCCGGGAATAACTGTGTGCTTGTGCCTGGGAGCCCTGATGCAACTGCGGCTTCCTGTTCTGTGCACATGGTGTTTAAGAATGTACACCTGTCATTCCATTTAAGTGTTTGCTGTTCCTGTAGCAAGCATGGTTGTTATGTTCAGTGTGGCCACATTTTCCATGCACCCCAAAACATCAAGGCACACACAATCTCTTCTGCTATTCATTTTTTTCACTTAGTGCTCTTTCCTCCTTGTGATTGCCTTCCATTCCTTCTTCTCCAGCTGCCACTCCTTAAAATCTTGACTACACCAGGTATAAGAAGGCTTCTGTAAATGAGAAGGTTGAACTGTGGTTGAAGCTGACCCAAGAAGGAGCATTGATTTTGTGTGATGTTATGGTGCATGTCCCCACAGGTTGATTTTTGTGTGCATAGCTCCAATTCTGCAAGGAGCTGCTGCAGTCTGCACTAGGTTCATTATTCTCTGCTGGTGAACTCAACTTTTTGTTTAGTTACCGGTGAAGTAGTACCTTGTAAAGCAAATATTATTGTGTTTTAGAAATCTAAATGACCATTTTGTCAATAATCTCAGAATCCTGCACATTCTTCCCAACCCAGTCAACCTTTGTCTGCTTTTACTTATTAAAATAAACAATAAACTGACTGTGTGCACGGCTACATGCCTGTCCATTGTTTAGATGTGATCTCCATCTATTTTTCCCTCCTTGATCTTGAGCTCATACACATCCTCCATTAGATGAGTTTAATGTTCAGCAAGGGAAGATGAAGTGTAAAATGACTCAGCTGCAGGGGGGGGTCAAAGCTAGACGTGTCAGGCAAAAGACAGGTCACAGATGGAACTGGAAGTATACGTTAGATGCTCTGGTGTCTGGCTTGTCACCTCTCTCTAAAAAACTCTTCTGCACCTACAATGAAACAGATAAACTGTGTTGCCAAAAAAATCCCAGGGTATTACTAGCTGGCAGGAAGGCTCCATAGGGAGGAAGATCATCCAGGGAAAGGGGAGAGAGACACCCCAAGATCTGGCAGTTCTGGTGGTGCACAACAGGCTAGCAGAATGGTCCATGAATGGTTTCCCCCATGTCTCTTGATTTGCCACGAACGTCCCACATAACCAGGTGAGGGGAAGAGCCCACTCCCAGTTTCCCACTGGAATTAAACCAAGAGGATGGCAGGATGCCAGGTTTTCAAGGACAGCCCCCCTCCCCAAAGCAGTTCTTCTTTATCTCATCTTGTATTGTGCAGTTGGGTTCAAGTCAGGGACAGAGACGTAGCCTCAGTAGACAGCACCAGCATTAGGTATTTTAGCTTGCTGGGTAATTTATCCAGCTGGCTGATGTATTTTTGTTTTCATTTCCTTAGCAGATTTTATCCTGAGTCCTTTTGGAACTCCCAGTTAGGTTTGCACCTATTCTACCATATCTCACCCCCCCTTTTTTTGTATCCAAATAAACATTTTTGTTTTTACTTGGACTAAGTTGCTGCAAATAGTTTTTAAATGAAGCTTGAGCACTTGTCCTGAAAACATCTTGGTATTGTGCTATCTCAAGGGAGCAAGCAAAGGGTCGGTTTTCCATCCTAGGTTCTCTTTGCTGGATATTATGCAAATAAACTGCTGTCCAGGGTACTGAATGAGCAAAATGTGTAGCTGGGTGCACCTTTTATTCAAAGCATTCCACGGCTCCTGGAAGTGAAAAGAAGTTTTTCTTCCGTCTATTTGGTGACTCCCCCAGGACTTTCCTCCGCAACTGACCAATGGGCAACTGCTTCCTTAAGGCCCCACATATGCCCAGGACCAGAAGAAACAGGTACCCAAAAAACAGTAAAGCTCATCTTGGCAAACATGTGGTGGTCAACAAAATTTTAATGGGCTGTCAGATGTTGTGTTGGCAGGCAGCTCTGCATTTCCAATCACAACAGCTTTTTTTTTTGGTTATTGAAACCACAGCTGCAGCTATGCCACCATATTTATTAAGATGAAACTTAATTTGGCGATGGAACCAGGGAATGGGCGGGCTCTCCACCGCTGGAGGGCTTCAAGCAGAAGAAGATGCCAGGAAAGCTCTAGCTTTGTATTCTTGCACTCAGCAAGAGGCTAGATGGGATGGCTTGTAAGACCCCTTCCAACTTTTTGACCCTGTAGTTCTATGAAATGTGGATAACAATCCAGCCAAAGTCCAGCGCTTGGCAACTCCTTGATCTTGCTTACTTAATTCTTCCACCCAAACCAATAGGGTTTTAATGTGCTTCATTTGGTCTGGATTGCGCTCTGTATTTCTTTATGTATTTGAAGCACCCTAGATGTAGACTATGTTCTGGCAAAACTTTATTATGAGTCAGTATAAATAAAAATGCATACTAAGTCCCTTGCATTGTGATTCCTGGCCCCACTGGTGGACCTCCTGATGGCACTGGTATTTCTGGCCACTGTGTGATACAGAGTGTTGGACTAGATGGGCCTTTGGCCTGATCCAACATTGGCATCTCTTAAGTTCTTATGTTCTTACGATCCGTGATTGTAGCATAGCTGACTGGGGTAAGGAGACAGACCAAGGGATGGCTGAGGGACCTCTGCTCTCTCACCCCTTTTGGTACCTTACTCTTGTCCCTCCTTGAACCCCCAGGATAGACAGTAACCACTGCCATCACTCTGCTTATGAGAATGGTTAGCCTGAACAAGACTGGAGTACCTTTATTTCCCTCTTCCCAAGAAAGAGACTAGCTGAATGGATGCTGGCTGTGAGTCAAAAGCCAAGCAGAATACTGTGACTGGGGAGCTTTATCAATGAATGTAAACCTGTAGAAAGCAGGGAAGTTCAATTTTAAAAACAGGGAAAACCATAATGGATCCATGGAATCCATGAACCAATGAGATTCATTGCAGTAAATAGAATAAAGATAGGTTGGTGAAAGGCTGAGAAGGGGATGAGGCAGGGAAAGGAGAGAGGGCAGAGGTCACTTCGGGGGGATCGCGGGGGATCGCAGTTCCCCCGGGTGAGGTATGGGGGGCACATGAAGAAGCCCCGCCCCCTGCTTCCGGCCACCCCGCTTCCGGCCCTCATTCAGCCAGGAGGAGGCAGGAGAAGAGGGAGGGAGGGTAAGTTGCTTCCTCCCTGCCTCTCCCCACCCCTGCCTGCCGACCAGAACCGTTGGGGACGGGGTGTGTGGCCTTATGACACACTTCTGGTGATGTCAGGGGGTGTGGCCTTATGACACACTTCCGGTGATGTAAGGGTGTGTGGCATATGCTAATGAGTTATGCTAATGAGTTCCCCTAGCTCTTTTTCTACGAAATGACCCCTGCGAGAGGGTATGAAACAATGAGATTCATTACAACGATACTCAGATATTTTCTCAAGGCAATAATTTTTAAAATTAAATTTGATTTAATTTTTAGTTAAAAACAATTGGTATAATGCTCCCCCAATTTGAGCTAAATTTTGTGAATGTCGGCACTACGATTCCCTTTCCCCAAGGGTTACCTGTTTAAGCAAACGACCGGTGTGTCTGTGTGTCAAGTGCCATCAAGTTGCTTCCGACCTATGGTAATCCTGTAATCAGGTTTGGCAAACGGAGAGCCATGGCTTCCTTTATTGAATCGATTTCTCTCATTTTGGGTCTTCCCCCCCTTTTTTTTTTTTTTTGTTGCCTTCCGGTTTCCCTAGCTTTATTTTCTTTTCCAGTGACTCCTGTCTTCTCAAACCCATATTTAGGACATGCCAGTGCTTGCAGTAGGCCATGCTCAGAAGATAATGGGTCCAGTATCACCTTAGAATTCTCAAAGCCAATAACCCAAATTCCCATCTGTTGTGAGCTATAGGGAATCATGGATGGTCAAAGTTTTAACCCTTCTTCTCATTTCCTCTGGAACCCAAGGGATGTTCTCAAGAACACAAATATAGAGGGGGGGGGAATGTCCTAGAACTATTAGATGAGAAACCTTGCCTAACTCCTTTGCTATTCACTTAATTTGGTACCGCAACAGAAGATTTGCTATTCATAAGCTACATTTGTGTGTCTGAAATACTTCTCGTCTGCAGTCCAGAACATCAGTGTTGATGGACTCCACCATAGTGAGTGGAGAGAAAAAAATGAGCTGTGTCTCATTATATTGAAACGGGCAACAATGAATTATTATTCTGAATAGCAAGTCACCAGATGTGCAATTTTAAAGACCATTGGGTGCAATATTGATTGATGACAACAGGTAACCAAGAAGCCTGATGTGCTGCATTTTTACCTTTTTTAATTAAATTGGTGTTCTGGGGCCTTTTGTTGAATAGTCTGTGGTGAGGTTGCACGGATTCAAAGAATAACGAAGACTTGCTTCTCAACAGAGATCTGGTAACTTTCATGTCTGAAAGCATCCATTTTTTGTCTAAGCCCCCAAGTATTTGCTAACTGCCATCACTGATCTTAAAATGCTTCAATGAAAATCATTTTTCTGATAGAAACTGTGCTCATGACAAATTTCCATTTGTCAACATTTTCTGTGCCATTTCTATTAAACTATCCGTGCCTTTAAAGGTGGCCATTGTACAATCAAATGCAAGAACATGAGACTAGTTGGCTCTTTCAAGCAGCTGTTCTTCATAGACCGATCTCTCTTATGAGTTTTATGCAAAACAAAAGGTTGCCTCCACAACACTGGTCCTCTATGCACCATTCCTCCTACCTGGAATATTTACATTTTAATGTATGGTGTTTAATTATGAGTGGATGGGGAAGGATATGATGTAGACTGATGTAGATAGGAGAACCTTTTTGTTTGGATTCCATCCTCCTTCCAACCTCCTGTGCTGCAGATATTGTGAAAAAAGATCAGGAAGTTTTCCGGTTAAAAAAATTGTGCTACTACATAGCTTAAATCAAAATGTATGTGATATCAACTTCAACGGTGTCTGCATGCAAAAGATAACAGTTGTTAAAAGCTACTGTAATTGTCCTGGCAAGCTGTGGGTGTTATAGTTACAGCTCTTAGGTTTATCCCATCTAAAACTATTTCAAATTGTTTGTTCTCTCCCCCACTTGTAGTGTTATTTACTTCATTGTGATTCGAACAATATGGACTAAGAGCAGAGCTCATGCTGTGATTGTATCTAACTGTTCTGGTAAGTGATTTGAAGACCAAGTTGTGATCCTTTTTTGACCTTCAGAAGCTGGGAAGGCTGAAACTATTGCAAGGTGTTGGAATGAGCCTCTATTCATTCAGCAGAAATTCTGCTTACATGTGTACAATGGCTGGACAACTGGGAATCTTGGAATTGTTAGAAAAAGTCCACTCATACATAGAGAGCCTGTCTTTGTACAGTTGTACACATGCAGGTTTCTGTGCAAGTCTTTCAGTGAATGTGCAAAGGATGGTGATAGGGATAGTAAGCTCTGTCCCAGTGCCCCACGCGTGGGTTTAGATTTCTCCACTTTTGACGATTAGAATGGGACTACTATTGGGTAAGGTTCAGGATGAAAGAAGCTGAGTTTTCATTTGGATTTATGCAGTTCTGCTTCAAAGTATTTTGTCAGCCCCCAGCAAGGTAGCCCCTCAGCTTTCCCCTGTGCCGGAATTAGTAAGGTCTCAGCTGGGAGCTGCATGGGTCGAGGAGGCAAGGCCCATCACCTCCCACCCCACCAGTGCAAGGGAGCAAGCCAAGCCTCTGCAGTGTGCTGGCACCCTCCTCACTGTTGCTTGGGTGGTTTGGTCAAAGAGCCATCCATGGATCAACACACCCTTTATAAGGAATTTTGTCTTGTGATCACGGTCTTGCCTATATGCCTCATCTAGTATTCCAGTATGGAATATGCAGAGCTCTACTTTACAGTAAAGCAGGGGTGGCCAAACTGTGGATCGGGAGCCACATGCAGCTCTTTCACACACACATATTGTGTGGCTCCCGGCAGGGGGGCTGGGGAAGCAAATGGGAGGCAGGCCTCCATGATTGGTGGGCTTGAGATGGGAGAGGGAGCAGAGAAAGAAAGCAACTTTAACTTTAAATGCATTCTCAAAGCCTCCCCCCCCCCAAGCTGGCTTGGAGAAGGCATTTGTCTCTTTAAATCCTTTCTCTAAGCCAAGCCAGCTGACAAGGAGGGGGGGGCTTGGAAGACACATTTAAAGTTAAAGTTGCTTTCTTTCCATCATTCCCTTCCTCCTCATCTATTTGCTTTCTTTGTTTTTTCTCTCTCTCTCTCTCTCTCTTTCTCCCTCTCTCCCTTCCTCCCCATCTATTTGCTTTCTTTCCACCTTTCTCTTTTTCTCTTTCACCTTTTCTTCTTTCCTTTCTTCCTTACCTCCCCCATCTATTTGCTTTGTCTTCCTTCCTTCCTTCCTTCCTTCCTTCCTTCCTTCCTTCCTTCCTTCCTTCCTTCCTTCCTCTCTCTCTCTTTCTCTCTCTCAGACAAATAAATATCATTAGCAAACAAATATCATTGGACAAATAAATATCTATCAATATCTGTTTTTACCCCTTTTGTTTTTATTTTTGGCAGTCTCATTTAATGTTAATAAATAGCAAATTCGTATATTTATCAATTAAAAATATTTGTGTAATATTTGTTCATGTCTTGTGGCTCTCAAACATCTGATGTTTATTCTATGTGGCTCTTATATTGAGCAGGTTTGGCCACCCCGCAGTAAAATTTTGCCAACCAACCAAAAATTATATATTTAAGTATATCTGATGCTTTTATGCAGTTGTTACTTGCTCAAAACCGAAGGGACGGTCAGCTAATTCAGAAAAACAAATACAAACTTGGCAATATCCCAAGTTACATCCACCATCTTTTCGAAGCTTTATACAGGATTTACTTTGATTCAGAATGGGCTTGGGTTAAGTAATTTATACACACACACACACACATACAGACCAAATTAGAAATTATTTTATTTTTGAACCTGTTTTCAAGTTTTGTCCCATCATGACATCCTCGGGAGGGAGCTGAGCACCACCCCACCAATCCTGCCAACCCTTCTGTGAGCACCAGCTTCACCTCACCACTCCTTCCTTTCCTTCAAAACTTATGTGATGATAAAAAGAGCAAGCAGCCCTCACCCATGGAAAGTCTTCCAGATACTCTAGAGCCATCTGTACTCCTGGAGCCTCAGAAAAAGTAGTTCCCAGGGCTCCCAAGTCCTTACTGAGGAGAGGGACTTCAAGCTCCGAGAACTATATTTCCCAGGGTTGCCAGTGCTCAGGATGCTCGCAACAGTGCCCTGGGCACTAAGAGCACTGGAAAATATAGTATGAAGTGTTCCTGCCATCCTTGGTAAGAACTCAGGAACTCTGGGAGTTACATTTCCCAATATTTCTGGTCCTTGGGAAGCTGTTGTGTCATCATTCTAAGATAGCATGAAAGCCCTCTTGCTAGACCTCCCCTTCACTTGGTGGAGCCCAAATGCATAAATCTGCATTCCAGTGGAAATCATTAATTGGGAAGGCTTTCCAATTACTCTGAGACAGACCTGCTTATCTGGCCTATAATTAAAAATCCATGTTCTCAGCTGATGGAGGGTCAAGCTTCTCTGTTGTATACAATCAGCTTCTACAATCCTAAGAAATGCATATTCCCAAACACCTAAGGGAGTTTTGGACTTGTGCTTCCCAAGTAACAATTCCTGGAGTTGCATAGCAAATCACTTTTAAGACTAAAGAGAAGTTTCAAAAGTCATTTGTGATTCAACGGCTTAAATTCCTCTGGGAGCACAGAAGCACTCTGATGCACCTAAAGAAGGGTTGGATTCGGGTCTGCCATAAAGCTATTTGCTAGGACTTTAAATGTAATTTAAGCTGCAGGCATTCTCTTAGGGGAGTTAATGGGGTTTTGTATTTTGTATATTGGAACTGCAAGCTGCAGGGACATAAAAAGTGTTAAGGACGGGGCCCAGGGAGGAATATTCACAGGTTTGAAAGCTGACTTGATCCTCTTTACAATAGTTATTCTTTCCCCAATACCAAGGCACTCCTTCAGGCATTAAAACTCATAGCACTGGAAGGCAGCAGAGTATAACTATCATCGAGGTCATTTCGCTCTAGTCTACATGAGACCAGAGAAGCACTGACAATATGATCAAATGTGTTTACTAGGTTGGATCTCATTTATCTTTTCAGGAAATAATAAGAGAAAATGGATGATCAAAGTGAAGCCCAACATAATTATCCCATTTGCTCTGACCACATTTGCAACGGGACTGAGTTTTCACTGAGTTACACCAACTGGCCTCCATTGTCTAAAGTAGATTGTCTAAAGCAGAAATAAATGTAGACCATTGCTTCTAAAATTAAATGTATCCCATGACAGAAACAGCTTTTAATCAAATAAATTCTGGTTAAGATTAAAACAGAAAAGTACAGCAATTATCTGAGAAACCAGGAAAATGACAAATGTATCTTTGTGGCTACATCGGATTAATTTATGAGCCCTTTTCAGACATTATATCCATATGTATTGGGGACCTGACAACTGCACAGGTTGGGTGCAAGAGCTTCTTGTTATTTATATTTATTTATTTCCCAAGCTTATATTCCACCATCCTCCTGGAACGGGCTCAGGGCGGATCACAGCACTGTTGGGCCATTTGGCTACATAACACAATAATAAATAATCAGTTAAAATCTTAAAACAGCATTTAAAAACCAACTACATCAATACTGGTGCCACTGAGCTCTAAGATTTGTTTAATCCAGGCTGAACACAGATGTTGTTTTCAGCAGGGGGGCGATCTTTTATTTATTTATTTATTTATTTTAGTCAATTTATACCCCGCCCTCCCCGCAATGCGGGCTCAGGGCGGCTTACATGGAGGCAAACGCCAATATAAAACATATTTAAAACCGTTTAAAATCCCAACAGTGCAAAAACATTATTTACAAGTTATTAACTAAAGGGCTCTAGATGTTCAACGCGGTATTTCATAGATGGCGTATTTCAACATCTTCTCTTTTTCTGGATGACCGCCTCCTCAGCCAAAGGCCTGGTGGAACAGCTCCGTTTGACAGGCCCTGTGGAATGATAAAAAGTCCCGCGGGGGCCCTGATCTTACAGGATGACAGGAGCATGTTCCGCCACACTGGGGTCACCCTAAATTGGCTGAGACTTGATGGCCATTTAGACACACACATGTAAATTTTTATTTCTCTCCTATTTGCAGATGGGAAATTCTGTGCGAGCTACGCCCACCGGGGCCTCATATCAAAGGCTAAAATCAAAGCCATCAAGTACAGCGTGGTCATAATTCTCGGTAAGTGACAGTGGCTAGCGAAACATCTGTGAAGATTGGGCTTCATTATAGATTGGCCTGTTATTCAGGCGGCCTGCGGTAGGTTTTCCTTTTTATTGACTTCATGGAGGGCTCCTGAATGCTGGCACAGTTGTCAGGCACCATTATTGAAAGTCCCATTCAAATTCAGAAGACTAGTGTACAGTTTTGAAAATATATACAGAGAGAGATGCATTCAACACAGTCCCCCACCTGGAGTCTAAAGAAGTAAAATTCAGGAACTATTTTGTGTCCCCCCTCCTCCCCATCTGTTGTTCAGGCTTCCCTCTGTGTGAGTGTCTTTCTGCACTTACAAGTCAAAGAGGCATGAATGCACAAGGTGAAGAGGTGCTTCTACTGACTCACAATTGAGAGGTAGCATCACGGAGATCCTGTGTTTAGCCTGGTGTGCTGTGGAGGAGCCCTTCCCACACACTGCGGATGCCCACTTCTGCAACAATGAGAACATCCCTCCTGGGCCCCGTGCTCTTAGGTTCTTTGCTTGCTGACACCATCAATCCTTTCTACTATAATTGTCCTGTAATAATAATAATAATAGCTGTGTATTCTGTGCAGCAGGGGAAAAAATCCTGCCAAACACCTACAAACAGATGGATGAGTCAGTGAGCCAGTCGTCAGAAAAATCCTGTCTCCGTTCGCAACCTGCAAACAGGATGCAAGCCAAAGCAGCAGATGTTTGAGCATCTTCTTGTCTTCATGTGAACTCCACACTGAGCAGCTACTTCCTATTAAATTAGCCTCTTGGACATGCCAAATGCACAGATTCCTCTGCTTCTATTTACCCCATCTATTGACTTTTTAATGATGTGCAAAGTTTCTTGATTGAAAAATTATCAGTATATAGTGTTATGGTGCTTGGATTGAGCATACCCACATGAATGCCTCCTCCTATCTTGACATCAATGAGTTGAGCTATGCTCGGAACACTGTTGTTGAGAGAGATGAGATCTAGGAGCACTTAGATTTTAAATTATTTCTGCATCCTATAAAAGGTACATAGCATAGAGGTGATTCGTAATGTAAAAACTGCATTAAAAAACAACACCAGCAACAAAAATAGGCAAGGACTCATAATAACATATGGGGGGAGACACCCAGAAAATTGACAGTATTCATATATCTCCACTTTGGAGCAGCAAAAGTGATGGGTGTTTTACAGTTCCATTTCCATATTGTATAAATCCTTCTCAGCAAGTTGCCAATATACAGGGGAAGCCTTATTAAACCAACAGTCTCCTGTACATTAGCTTACTTAATTTGGAAAGTGTTCGTTGAATTTACTTATGTAAACTGGTAAATTAATAGTTGGTTAAATGAGATTTTAGTTGGAGTTATCTACTGTAATGCTAATCGGATTTAAGAAAACAAACCATATGCCTCTGTATTCAGGCTCTGTATCACTGTCATTTCTCAAAACAAACAGATGACTGTATATTCAGTAGTTAAATGAACTTATCTTAATTAAAATCCTTCACTCTTTTTTACAATTGTGAGGGGTTTTTTTTGCTACAGTAGTTAATTACTTATTCGTTTGAAAGCAATCCATACAAATGGTTGGATCCAAACTAAACTGGCCATTATGCTCCTCTCGCAGATTCCCCTCCACCACCACCACCACCGTCCTCCAGGAGTGGCATTATGTAAAGATTAGGGGACCTCCAGTGGGAGGGAAAAGACGAGAAATTTCTATTCTGCTGATGGGAAATTTAGTTGGGATCCATCCTAGAACCTTTGTATAGTCATAGCCTTAGGCTAAAATCCTCAGCAATTTTGGTATTATTTAAAACATTTTTTTAAACCCATCCTTTTTCCAAAAATGGGCTCAAGGAAGTAGCATCTACAGAAACTTGTGGGACCTACTTCCAAGAAAACATGCATAGGAATCAGGTCGCTAAATTGGAAACAGTGAGGTATAAACCCATTTCAAATCCAAGTCTTTTGGCTTCTGTATAAAAAATTCCAGCATAACAGAGTATGGTTTGATGTGGGTGAATGTATTTCAGCTGGCCTGTCTCTCCATCCATTCTCCGTATCAGCATTTGACTAGTAATGGTGCCCTGTTTCATGCAATGAAAAGCATGTTCCTTCAGATCACCCCAAGGCCATGGATGGATCCAGTGGTCTCTTTCCATGAAGGGAGGAATCTTGTTAGAAGAAGACACTTTCTATTCACTGTGAGGAATCTTCTATGGGAAGAACAACCCCTTCCTCTAACACCATGATCCCTAAGGTGTGCTCATGTGCAACATGGTGCTTGCCAGTGTGTTTCCTGATGTACACTTCCTTCTTCCCCCAAAGTGAGGAGCCAATACTGGCTTTCCTTCAACTCACTGGATCATTGGGTGCTTCAGAAGAACCTAGAAGCAACCACCTTTGTGTTTTCAGAGAGTGCCCATTAGGAAACACTGCCTCAGCCACAGGATGATGCTCAGCAACATTTCATGACTGACCCTAGCCCTTATGGCAGCCATTCCACACACACTCCGCCCCATGCCTACTAGCTGTTTTCAAAATACAAAAAGTACCCACAGATCCAGCAAGCCTTGTGACTCATTCGCTAACAGAAGATTTATCATTTAACAGAAGGGAACCATTGGGTTCCTTCCTTGATCTTTGGTGCCTTTGTGTGTTGGGATAGAAAATACAGACTCATCGGTCCTGCCAATAAGCGTATTGCAGTAGCTGTGCATTCTGCCCCTCTCTCTTTTTCCTTTTACCTGCCCATCCCCAGATGCACAGAAAGAATGATCGCTTCCACCCAAACTCATTCATTTCCTTTCCCCTTATTTAAACTTGACCATCCATTTGCCACAAAGTCCATCAAAAGTGACACTGAAGAAGCCCTGACACAGAAGTGGAAATGTATGCTAATGTGTGTTATGAACTCAGAGGAGGCATTTAAAGGGAGCTCCCTGACATTTGATGATGATCTAATTGGCTGTTTGTCTAACATGATTATACTGCTGCTGCTGTAGGAAGCCATTTGTCTCAATCGGTCTGGTTTCTAATTGCTAAATTGCTATAACAGTATTGTTGGTGCACATTTTCCTCTGAAAGGGTCTCAGCAGGTGGGATGCGCCAAGGAAGCTCCTATATCTGAGCATCCCGGCACCTTGGCAGAAGAGCCTTGTGGAATTTGCTATACTTGGATTGTGCCAAGTTCTTTTTTTTCCCTTCCACCGAGTCTGTAACTAGATGCTAGAATTCCTTTGAGGTTTTAAGCGTAGAAAGCAAAGTAATTTGTTTATGCATCGCCATCTCCTGAAAGAGGCAGTTACACTCCTTAAAACGTCACCCACAAATGCCCCGATCCTATGCAGAGTTAAGAATCGAACCCATTGGTTCTGCCACATCTAATTCTGCACAGAATTCTGCTGCAAAAGTTGAGATCAGTTTCTCAAGGTGGGATAGCAATCCCACCCCACCCCTCTTTTTTTACTGAGGAAAGCAGGATATTTGCAATGGTTGCCAAGCTGATGTGGCTCAGATCTCCCAGGGCTACTTATCCTGTTAAACAACCAGAATAAATTTCAAAGCCTTCCTTGATTTCTTGCAGCATTTGTGCTCTGCTGGAGTCCTTACTTTATCTTTGATATCCTGGACAACTTCAGCGTCCTCCCCGAGACCAAAGAACGCTTCTATGCAGCAGCGATCATACAAAACCTCCCGGCTTTGAACAGTGCCATCAACCCTATCATATACTGCATCTTTAGCAACACTGTTTGCTCGTCTTTCAGGTACTTTTTCTCTAACTGTAGTGTCATGGGGTGGGGGGTGGGACAGACAGCTTTCCCCCTGGGCACCTGCCCTCTACCCTCATCCATTTCTCAGAGCCTTACAAAAATGTTGGTGAGTTGCCATTACCTGGTCTTTCCAGCCACCTGAACACTGTAAAAAACATACAAGAGAATCCCAAACGTTAGCCAGGTATATCAGTCTGGTACACATGTCTCCGAGTGGTTGCAGGCCCGGGGCTTATTAAGGAAAGGTCTTGCGGTGAACACAGACCCACAACCACAGTGTTTTGGAATAAAAACAGGCCACCGCATTATTGATCACAGACCAAGGAGCATTGGCAAAGCATGGGTGCAGATCCTGGTGAACTGAGCAATCTGTCTGCTGCTCAGTAAGCACCATCCCGCAGCCTTTCTGCTGGGGAAAAACCTGGGCATGATAAATATTATTGGCATCACAAGGGCAGCTGCTGCTGAGTGGTACCATTTGACAGACACCTGGTGTGGGCCTGGGCACAGCCCCTGAGCTGGGCATCCTGTGTGGTGGCTCAACCCCCCCCCCGGACCCCATAAAGGAATACCCAAAGTGGGGGAGGCACATAGGCCCTTCTCCCCCCAAAGGATCGGCCCAGATGTGCAAAACCACCCAGCTGTGACAGTTAAGAAGAAGAGGAGGAGATTGGATTTATACCCCGCCTTTCACTCCCCAAAGGTGTCTCAGAGCAGCTTACAACTCCTTTCCCTTCCCCTCCCCACAACAGACACCCTGTGAGGGAGGTGGGGCTGAAAGAGCTCTTGACACAAACTGCTCTTTTTTCAAGATCAGAACTACGGCTTGCCCAAGGTCATCCAGCCAGGTGCAAGTGGAGGAGTGGGGAATCAAACCCGGTTCTCCCAGATTAGAGTCCGCGCACTTAACCACTACACCAAACTGGCTCTCTATACACATAGAAACCCAAAATCCCACAGAGGGTGGGTGGGGATCCAAGTGTGCTTTAAATAGATCCAGGTGTACAGCCCTCCAAAACTTCCTGCACTTCCCCTGGCTGGTCCATGGAGTACTCAGGTCGGCCAGTGTAGCCGCCTGGGGCTCCTGCCTTTTGCCGCTGTCAGTCCAAGGGCAGGAAGGCCTCCTCCCGACCCCTTCTAAGCTTGTGCTGCAACCTGGCCATGTTGGGTGAGTCACGCAGGTGCCGGGGCCATGGACTTCTGGAGGGGCCCATTTCCAGTGACCCCATGCCTCCCCTGCTGCCCACCAACTCATTTGCAAGCACTTCACCATCCATGCTCCCAGAGGTACGCACTGAGAATGGTACGATTAGAGAATGGACATGTGGTTGTTGCAGGCATCATCTGTGAGTGCAGGTGGTGAGAGGGCTCATGAGGGAGTGGGGGAAGGATGCACAGGTATGGGGGCCACTGAGTGGGATGGGTGGCTTGAGAGGGGGCCTGGTGGCAGGCAGAAAAATCACGGAATCATAGAATCAGAGTTGGAAGGACATCTAGTCCAACCCCCTGCCCAATGCAGGATCAGCCTACAGCATCCCTGACAAGTGTTTATCCAGCCGCTGCTTAAAGACTGCCAGTGAGAGGGAGCTCACCACCGCCCTAGGCAGCTAGTTCCACTGTTGCACAATTCATACTGTAAAAAAGTTTTTCCTAAGATCTAGCCGGTACCTTCCTGCCCTTAATTTAAACCGATTATTGCAAGTCCTATCCTCTGCTGCTAACAGGAACAGGTCCCTGCCCTCCTCTAAGTGACAGCCCTTCAAATTCTTAAAGAGAGCAATCATGTCCCCCCTCAACTTCCTCTTCTCCAGACTGAACATTCCCAAGTCCATCAGCTTTTCCTCGTAGGGCTTGGTCTCCAGGCCCCCAATCATCCTCAATGCTCTCTCCTGCACCTCCTCCATTAAGTCCACATCATTTTTGAAGTGAGGCCTCCAGTACTGCACACAATACTCCATGTGTGGCCTGACCAATGCAGTGTACAGTGGGATTATCACATCTTGCAGTTTGGATGTTATGCCTCTGCTGATAGCCCAAGATTGCATTAGCCTTTTTTGTTGCCGCATCACACTGGCTGCTCATATTTAATTTAACAGTTAGAGGAGGGGGGCCCAGGCCACTTTGTCCCCAAGGCCTCTAGCAATCTGGAACCCGCCCTGTGCAGAAGAGGTATTGACTGAAAACTCCCAAGGTTCATTAGTGTAATAAAAAAATTTAATTTAATTTCAGGAAGCCATTGCATTTGAAAGGAAGGAAAGGCCTTTAAAACTGAGGGGAGATATAAGCAAATTCCTTATTCAGTCAGGTTCTGTGGATGTAATAGAAGAGAAATAGAACTGTTGAGCATGTACTCTTACACTGTAAATTGTTAAATGACATTCGAGTGGAATTTATAGAAGCCCCCCTTAGGTTGGTAGCAGGCCAATCGGATAGAATCAAGGTACAATTTCTCCTTGCTTCACAAGATCCGGAGATCATTGAACTGACCGCTAAGTTTCTCCATGGTTTTATAAAACAGAAGAGTGACCCTGATCATATTAATGATTCTTAATTTATAAGTCTAAAAACTTAAGTTTAAAAGTTTAGAATGCCAGTTTATTTTATGATTCAGGCATCTTTTGTATGGTCAAATCTAGCTTGTGACAACTTGAGTTAGGCCTGACATAGCCACGACTATCTATTTTATAATTTCTTTTGGATTGTATTATTGGTAAATGCTTCTAATATTGTATGCCAATAAAAGGTATTTGAATTGAATTGCCTTTAAAACTGGCAAAAAGTTTTTAAAAGGGTTTTAATAATTGCAGGCGTCCTTTGGCAAATGCCTTCTTATACTGACAGGCACTCAGCATTATGTACAGTGGGACCCCAACCCTTATGTAGCTCCAAGGATCCTTTTTATCCCCAAAGCCATTTCACAGATTGCTATGGGTTTTTGTTTATTTTAGGAAAACAGTGGGGGTACAGAAAAGTAAAAGGGGGGAAGGTTATGCAACATAATTACATTTGTCAAAGATAATCATGTAGTACACGATATATAGAACAGATAATATTTTCCCTTTCATCCCCTTCATTATAATTTGAAGGTATTATCTATAAAATAGAATAGTTCTTACTTCTGGTGGGATACAGTTGTATTCATCATTTAAGTTTTAAGTTTCAAACTTCATAACTAATCTATTTTGATTACAAAACTGGTTTCATCATTACTATGACGTCAGTATAACATATTTTCACCACTTCTACATATTCATTAGAACTTTTAATAGATAAGTAGCATATCTCAGTGTAAAAGAAAGTCTATTATATATCTCATATAGAAAAGCCATTTGTATATGAGATAATACATTTGGAACTGATTTTAATTCTACTTCTATTTCATTACCATACATTTGTATATATTTTCTCACTTTAAATTTGTTTCCTGCTAGCATAATACACGTAATACACACTCCATCTCTCCTCAGATTTCGTAATAGATCTGTTTCTCAAATTTTGTCATTACTGCATAATCGACAAGATTGTTTTCCTATTCTTCTAAACATGGACAGACATCTAGTTTCCATTTTGCTGCGTAAATAGTTCTAGCCACTGTCACGATGTATTTGAATACCTCTTCTAAAATGTTTGGTAATTTGTTAGGCAGAACACCTCTTGGCTTCTACTGGGAATTTAAACTTTAATATATTCTGCATTTTTGTTGTATTTCTTTCCAATATCTTTTTTTTTTTGCTCGTTTATAAAAGTCTACCACATGTGAAAGAACATTCCATCTATGTCTTGGCATTTCAAGCATTTTCCTTTGTTGTTTTTATGTGCTTTCTCAATGTCCTTTGATATACTATCTGAAAAACATTTTGTACCAATTTTCTCTTTGTGTCTGGCTGACTATAAATATGATATCTTTTACCTACAGTTGTTCCCATTGTTGAATAGATATCTGTTCTTTTAGGTTTTGCATCCACTTAATCATACATTTTTTCACTTGTTCATCTTCTGTTTCTAGCTGAAATAAAATCTTATATATCCCTCGTAAATCTTTCTGTTTTTTAATCAGCTGCTCAAATTCAGTCGCATCTCTTAGAACTCCACCTTCAATACTCATGATCTCCTTTAGTCTAATTGAAAATATATCAGCCATTGAATGTTTACACCATCCTTAATATCTTGCCAAGACTTGATTTTCTTGTGTTCTTATCATAATAAGCTTCTTTTGGGTACATAAACAAAGAGTTTGAGGGGCTCAATAAATTCCAGCGTGTAAACCATAATCTCAGAAGTCCATTTCTGATTATGTGACTTTTTTCTTCTGTTATGATCTTTTTAATTGATTTCTTAATCCATAATAATTGTGTAGGGCTTCATCAATATCTGCAAATTCTAATTTTACTATTCTTTGTCTTGGGTTTTTAATCCAGACCACAATTTTTTATATTTGAAATTCCTCTCTTTTTCTCATATTATAATATTTTGAAGCTTATTCTTGGGGGGTTTTTATTATAATATTTTGAAGCTTATTCTTGGGATTTTTTTGCCATTCCGTATGAATTCATTTAACTGTTGTTGTGTCCGTTGACCGCCACCAGAGGCCAACACACACTCCTGAGCTTGAGTCCGGCACAACAATAAGGACTAGGATCCTAGTCCCTCCACTGGGGGAACCAATGGGACCGTGGCGGGAGATTCAAACCTGCCAATGGGACCCAGGGGTGTGTCCCCTGGTTGTGTATATAGTTAGGCCTGCCGGCTGTTGTTCCTTGTCTTGTTGTGTACCAATAAAGCGTGCTATGCACTACGTCATTGTTTGTCGTTCGTCCATGCGGCAACCCACTACACAATAACTGTCTTTGCGACTCTTTCAATATTCTTTCTTCTATGTATATGGGTAACATATGGAACAAAGATTGAAAGGTCAAAGCAGACCGGGACGGCAAAGGATGAGATGGTTAGACAGTGTCATAGATGCAACGAACAAGAAGTTGAGCAAATTTCAGAGGACGGTGGAAGACCGGAAGGCCTGGCGTGATATGCTCCATGGGGCCGCGAAGAGTCAAACTCGACTGTGCGACTGAACAACACCAACAAAATGGAACAAAAAGTTTAGTTTGGCAGCACATTCATTTTGATTGCAGAGATTCTTCCCAGCCATGAGGTTTTTAGTTATTTCCATCTTAATAAATCTGCTTGTATTGATTTCCAAATTTTCTGGTAGTTATTTTTTAAAAGATTACAGTTTTGCCCAGTCGCATTTAGTCCCAAATATTCAATAGGGTTGGTGGATGTTGAGCAGTTGTGTTAAAAATTTCATTATCATTTTCGGTTTTTTAAAATTTTATTGCCTGAGAGGGATCCAAATTCTTCAATATGTTCAGTTACATGTTGAATGAATTCTGGGGATTCAAGACTGTTAGAACCACATCATCTGCATAACTTTTCATTTTGAACTCTACATCATCTACTTCTATTTCCTTAATTCTGTCATCTTGCCTAATCTTTATACCTAAATTCTCTATTGCTAGTATAAATAATAAAGGGGATAAAGGAAATCCCTGATGTGTTCCTTTTTCAGTTGAAATTGCTTCCATTAATTTCCCATTAATTAAAATATTTACTTACTGGTTTGACTATGTTCCAAGCATCCAGTTCCAGAATGCAGGACCAGAGCCCGCATTTGTAAAACATTAAAGAAGAAAGGCCATATCAAATGCTTTTTCTGCATCTAGAAATAGAAATGCTGCTTTCTTTCTCTTCTTATTTACAAATTCAATTGCATCTACTATAAATCGTATATTATCGTTCATGTGCCTCTTTGATACAAAACCTGTTTGGTTGGAGTGTGTTAAATTTGGTGTGCATTTTCTTAAGCTTTCTGCCATTATTGTGACAAAAAATTTGAGGGAAATAGGTCTATGAGACTGTGGTAGCGATGCATCACTACCCTCTTTATGAATTAGTATTATACTCACCTCTTGCCATGTCAGGGTATTGGCATCTTTTCCTTTATCTCACTCATAGCTTTTTGTAATGGTACTATTAATACTTTTTTTTGGTAAAACTTTTATTGCTTTTACTACAGATACTACAGGGGAAGGGAAATAGGGGGGCCTAAGATTAAAATACAAAACTAAAGCAAGGATCCTTTAACAAAGTTATAAAGATAATATATTGCTTTCCCCAATCTTTAAGAAAAGTATATGGAGTATCACTGTATAAAATTAACACAGACATTATCCCTATTTATCCAGAAAATACGAAGATCAGTTTTGCATATATCAAAACAAATATAGACGTTCAGAGTTAAATCATAGATTATTTTGCAACTTTCCCCCCTTATGTTTGCTCTTATCATATGTCATTTTAACTTTGAGAGTTTTTGGAGCAGCTTCTCCTTTTTCTTCATCAGAGTCTTCTGAGGATCTGCCAGTTGTAGTTCCACTGCTTCCTGATTCATGTTCACTTTCTTCCGCCAGTTGTTTAGCTTCCTCTGTTTTCCCCTTTTTTTTAGCTGTTGTTTGATGTTTCTCCAGAAACACCTTTGATTTTTGTACAGAGTCAATCTTTTCTTTCTTTTCTTTATAGTTGAAGATAAGTCCTTCCAGAAATGTCCATCTATAGGGGGTGGATTGTTTACGTAAAAATAAAACTAAGTTTTTATACTGTTTCCTCTGCTTTCATATTTTAAATGGAATGCCTTTTAATATTCAAAGTTCTTGATCTTGGATTTTCAGGGTTCTCCCATTGGTAGCTTTTAAGATGAAGTCTCTTCTTGATCTTTTGGAGAACTTAACGTATACTTCACCAGGCAGTTTATTTTTCTTGATGAAATCTGGATAGGTCCTATGAACCATATCCATGTTGCTTTGTAGGAGTTCCGCTTTCAGATCTGTCACTGGTGCCAAAACTTCGCTTAATATACTTTTAAAGTTTTCCCCATGTTTTTCTGGGATCCCCTGAAATCTCAATACATATAATGATTTCTCCATTTGGAGTTGTAATAACTGCTCCTTGTCGGAAATCCGCTCTTTTTCTGCCACCTCCAATCTCTTAGTTAACGAGTTCGTCTTAGCTTCAACTTGTAGAACCATTTTGTGTGTTTCTTCTGTCTTTGCAGTTGCTTCTTTAAGTTGCTTCTGAAGATCATCAAATTTGGTATTGAGGTTAGTCATCCAGTCCAACAGAGAGCGCAATGCTGTAGTTAGCATGCTTTGGAGGTAGGTAGCCACTTCTGGTTTATGTCCCGATGACTGTGAGCTGGCAGTTCCTGAAGAAGAATCCTTTTTCGGCGCCATTTTCTGTCTTCGCAAAGACATTGTTTACATAAGAAAAAGTTCATTTAGGAGTTCTGAAGGTCTGTTTATTTAATTCCACTTTAGTCTGGTCTACACCATCTCTGGTTTTATGCTTTTTTTTTCCAGCCTCAGCCCCCGCTCTACCCCTCTAAGTGACACAATTTTTCCTCCATGGGGGTGAATATCCCACTCCTCCTCCCTGCCGATTCGAATTGGGGTTTTCGGGTGGCTGGTCGCTTCTGTGCTTAATTACTAAAGACGCTCAGGATTCACAGTTCATCTCCTCATTGCTTCAAAGGGTGGGTGGGATCAGCAAGATGCTTGATCTCTTGCTTGCTTTCCTCGGCATGTGCCTCTATGTCTATAGTAGGCTCGCAGCGGCGGGACCTGCAGAGGCAGAGGAGGCCTCAATTCTTCAGCTGCCACCTTAGAAGAGGCACCTCTTGCGCCCCAGGCTACGAGCCCTCTACAAGGGCTCTTGGGGGACCCAGAATTGTCCGGGACCCCTCCCATCCGTGGTGATAATGGTGCACTCAGATCAGAGCAAGATGGAGTGCGTCCGTCCTGCAAGTTACTGAAATGGGAAGTCCTATTAATACTTCTTTAAGATGTTTATAATACATTGCTATCAACCCATCCAGTCCTGGTGCTGGTGCTTTATTCTTCTTCATGTTCTTGACAGATTTCTCGAATTGTTATTGTTTTTTATTATTGTTGTTGTTGTTGTTGTTGTTATCATCATCATCATCGTTGTTGTTGTTATTGTTAATGATGACAACAACAATGATAATAATAACAATAATAAATTAAATTTGATTATCGCCCCATCCCTAGTATTGTAGGGCTCTGGCCAATGTACATAATATTAAAAACAATAATTAGTCATGAAGTTAAAACAATCAAACATATTAATTACATTGGAACAGATGGTGACTAGTACCTTAGAATGTTGGCCATTTCGTGAGTGGGGGAAAGAGGTCAAAATGAGTATGGAAAACTGAGGAGGGTGCTAACAGAGGTAAAAACCATTGCTGTCCTCAACCAAAAGCCTGGCGGAACATCTCTGCCTTGCAGGCTCTGTGGAACTGCATAAGGTCCCGCAGGGCCCTGATGGAATTTGGCAGAGAGTTCCACCAGGTTGGGGCCAGGACCAAAAAGGCCCTGTCCCTGCTCGAGAGCAGCAGGACATTCTTAGGGCTGGGGATCACCAGCATGTTGTTGTCCAAGGAGCACAATGCCCTTCCAGGGGCATTAAGGAGGAGATGGTCCCGTAGATATGTTGGTCCCTGACCGCTCAAGACCTTATAGGTCAAAAACAAAACCTTGAACTTGACTTGGTATTTCACTGGAATATTTTTCTATGTTCTGACATAAACTTTGCAATTGGGATGTCTTTTAAATATTCCCTAATTCTTTCTTCCAAAACAAACTTCTTTTTTGTATGATTCTGAGAGAACACTGATAAATTATTCCTGCATTTCTTTTTCTGCATATGTAATTTGATCTCCTTTCTTTACACCTGTTATTACTCTTGTTTCTTTTTCCTTCCTGAGACAGTATGCCAGATATCTGCCAGGTTTATTTGCATGTTCAAAATATCTTTGTTTTAGACATTTTATTTTTTCCCTTGTCGCTCTTCTACTTCTGACATATATAATTGCCACTCTGTCAGTAGTGGGTGGGCATGGGGAGAAACAGCCACCCACAAACGTGCAGGTGACTCCCAGGCCCCAGGCAGCGGAAGGGTTGGCCCTGACCAGTAATCACTTTGACAGTCCATAGAGGGAGGGAGGGGCTGGGTGGAAGCAGGCACCCTCAAGCATGTGGGTGGTTCCCAGGCCTGGGCAGGATGAGTGGGCTTGTCCTACCCAATGATCACATTTTCAGTTGGACAGAGAGTGGTCTGGTCTATGCACTCCTAAACCCACACCTGACATCTCTCTGAAAAGCACTTTCCTGGGGGCACCTTGTTTGGGGGTCTCTAACTCAGACACACACCCCAATCCAACCCACATGCACACCTTGTTTGGGGGTCTCTAACTCAGACCCCCCCAATCCAACCCACATGTAACCTGTGGGTATGTGGAGGGGCATCCCAGGTAGATACACTGCAAGTTGGGTGCCTCTAGCTCACCCAGTGTCTGTTCCATAAACTCCTGAACCTGCACCTGACGTCCCCCCGAAAAGCACTTTCCTGGGGTGCCTTGTCTTGGGTTCTGTAACTTGGACCCCTGAAGTCCAATCTTCACCAAACCTGGTAGGTAGGTAAAGGAGAGTCAGCTGGAGATGGCCCTTGATTTGGGAGCCTCCAGGACCGCAGGGGGGGTTCCCATATGGACCAGTTCATGAATCAGTTTGCAAACCGGTCGGGTCTGGGAACCGGTTCACGAACTGGGCTGGTTTGGGGTTGCAAACTGAACCAGGATTTCCCATCTGTGCCCATCCCTAGTTTTTATGTTCTTATTCCAGTCTCTCAATTTTTTTCTGTTATTGTCTTAGACTGATTTCCCACTAGCTGCTGCTCCATCCTCGCTCTTCCTTTCCCCCGATTCTATGTGTCAATTTCCCACCTCTTGCTGCACGGCTGCATTTTGCCCCACAGCTTCACTCGATTTCCTCTGCATCTTTTCGATCCTCAAAAAACAGGATCTAGAAGACACGGAGGAAATCGGGTGAAGCTGTGGGGCAAAATGCAGCCGTGCAGCAAGAGGTGGGAAATTGACACATAGAATCGGGGGGGGGGGGGGGAGGAAGAGTGAGGACAGAGCAGCAGCTAGTGCGAAATCAGTATTTGTTTGTTCTAATCTTTCTTGCTTTTTTTAAGCATCAGCTGCTAGTAGAATCCCTCTGATAAAAGCTTTACATGCTTCCCAAATTGTAGTTGGAGACATTCCTTCTGTGTTATTTTTAAAAAACTCTTCCAAATCTTTTTTACACTTATTTACTACATCTTCTTGTAGCAAAAGAGTATCATTTAATCTCCATCTTCTTCTTGATTCTCTATTCCATTGCAAGACTACTTCTGTGGGATTGTGCTCCACAAATATCTTCGGCTGAATCTCTACTTTTTCTAAATTCATTGTCAAATTGTTGATATCCAACACATGTCTATTCTTGAATGCATTTGAAGTCTGTCCAAAAAGAAGGTAAAATCTTTGGATGTTTGGTCCTCCAGGAATCTTCTAATTCCAGCATTCCTATGCATTAAGATACATTTTTAGGTAATTTTCCTTGATCTGTCTTTTTTGGGGGGATCTAGTAGTCTGTTCATATCTCCAAGAATCATTATTTTCTCATCTTGAAAGTCTAGCATAGTTTAGAAAAAAAATTCTCATTAAAAAAATTAACTTTAGCCTCATTTGGTGCCGATATTTTTGCACAGATTGCTAGGTTTCAGGGGCAGAAGATTGCTGTTCCCTCCACCGCAGAACAAAGAATCAAAGAAAAGAAGAAAGCTTACTCCATGGTAATCCAGTCCCAGCTGGAAATCTCTTTTGAAATATTCTTTTGAATATTCTCTCATGCAACGGTGGTTCTTTAGTCAGCAAAGATATGGACTGAGAGCTAACCAATCACAGGAAAGTAAGCACATTAGATTTTCGTTGATGAAGTAGTTTTCTGCTTGTTTACATGACACCCCTCTGCCTACCTGGTACCCCTCAGGAACATGTGTAGATACCACTGACAGGTTGCTTACAGTGAAAGCGTTGAAGTTTGGGGCTTTTAAAGAGAATGGAACTGGACATGCTAAGTTGACCAGATTATAGAAATGGAAGCAGTTTTGTCCTCTAAAAGAGAACGGAACTAGTCAGACTACATTGACCAAACTGTAGATGTCCGGTTAAAAAAAAAAGCCATTTCTACCACAGACAGTTAAATCAATAAGATTCTACCAAAGAAGAGCTTGGCTTGATGTTATGCTCAACCAGTGAAAGCAACCACACCACAGAAGTAAAACTACTGGATGCCTTCAGTCCCCGCTGGGGAGAAAAATTGAGCATAAATATCTTAAAAAATGAATAAACATTTCCAGCAGGAACAAGTGCTTTCCCATCCTAGGCCCTTCTTAGTGAGATTTCTGTGGTGAAGTTCATAGTAATCTTTTATGTTTCCTAGGCAAAGAAGATCAGGAACCTTGGGAACTTTCAGAGACAAAACAGAAGGACAAGAGCTGCAGGTTCTCTCCAATCCAGAATACATTTAGAAGGTGACTACAAAGACTATGGAGATTCAAAGAGGAAAAGTAAAACCTTCAGCATTCAGAAATCTATGTATTTGGGGATGGCATGGAAGT